TTGTCCTACTACTACAAGCCCTTGTCAAAAGTCCCTCTTCAGCTTTCTTGTTGGCCCCTTTAGGTACTAGAAACTGCCCTAAGGTCTCCCCAAAGCCTTCTCTTCTCCAGGCTGAACAAACCCAGCTCTCTTGACCTGTCTCCATAGCAGAGATGCTCCAGCCCTCTGAGCATCTTCATGCCCTCCTCTGGACTCACTCCAACAGTTCCATGTACTTCTTATGCTGAGGGCCTCAGAGCTGGATGCAGTACTCCAGTATGAATGGTAGAGTGTTAAATGCTGTTGGACTCGATGGACACTTTTGTTAAGAAGTTGGCACTGAAAGGGAAAACTGGAGTTGGAAGACTTACTTACACATTTTTTTATGTCTCTGGGAAGATACTTAAAGATTGAAAGACTGGAAAAGCTATAGCCATTCTTAAATGTGAATCCACCACCTCCTGCAAACATCTTTCTTTTGGTGCTATAGCAAAACTTCTTGTGCTATTCAGGAGAAGAGTCCAGCCAGGGTCTGGTACTGACCACCTAGGAAGAAGCTGACTTTTAAAAGCAAGGCAACAGCTGGGCTGTCAATCTTGTCTCCCTGTATGGCAGCATCTGGTGAAAAGCATTGCTTTTCAACTGTCATATGCCATATATCCTGCCGTGTTCTCACTTCGATCAATGAAATGTGCCCCCATAGAAAGGGGTCTGCTAGCCTTGGCAAGCGGAGCAGCGCATGAGCAAACACGGTGCCTGACTCCCTCGGAGCTCCCCACTTCCTTTAATTATCCTCAGCCTTGTTGCCAGCAGTATCCCACCCCAGGCTTCCAGCAAGCCGGTGCATTTTGGGCTTGCAGTCTATTCCCTATAGGGAAATCCTTGAAATTAACGACCCTCAGGAACTGGAGACCAAATAGAATAGCTTCGAGCATGGTGTCTGTGTTGCATTTGACCAGTTAAGATGCAACAGAACTTCTGTATCTCACAATCAATTCTGGTGACAGAATATTGATGCATGGTGACCCCCGTAGATCTCTGGGGTCTCACTGCCTCCAAACTCAATAGAATCTGCAGAGTTAAAAGACAAAAAAGAAGAAAAGGAACAACTATCAAAGTAATTCACAAGTCAGCAATCCTCCCTCTAGCCTGTTTGTTAAAATATTGCTCACAAGGAGCTGATAGACACTGAAATAAATAGCACTATGAAGGAGATAAGTGATGCATTAGACTTCTCACCAGTCCCCTGACTACAGCTACTGTTTCAAAATCTGCCAAGTGTGAAGTGGCTATGCAATGGGGGAGTAAAAAATATTAGGAACTGCCAAAACCTCTCATCTGATGAAGACAAAAAGCTGGAGGAGGCATCTAAGACCTAGAAAAGCTTTCTAGGTACAAATCTGATGATATGAGGATGCCACAGGCTGAGGCTGTAAAACACAGGTAGCAACTAATTGTTCATATAATTGATTGATGGTTCTTGGGTTCACTCGACCCTCAGGAGCACCGGGCACAGCACAGGTAGTACAGAAGTTTTCTGAAGAATGGAAATGCAGTGATGCCTCCTGTCATGACTATGGCACCCATGACTATGGCAAACATCACAGCATCGCCCTTTGTATGGCTGAGGAGCACATGTGAAGGGAGGAGGATTAAAAGGAATATTTTGGGTTCCTCTGAACCCTGATGAAGGCTATTTATAAAGTCACTGCTTTTCAAAATAACAGAGAAACAGAGAGGCTGCTTACTTTTGACATCAGACTGAAGACTTCATCTAGTCTTATGACTAAGTTTACATATAGCATTTTTACCATTTTAAATCATTCCCATTATGAGTAGGCATAATGAAAGAAGGAACTCTCCCAGCTCAGAAGCAGCAGCATCCAGACAAAAGACCCTTTATGTAGGTGTTGCACATTCCTACAAATTTATGGAACCAAACCAGCAGAAGCCCCTTTTTAAAGTATAACCATTGCTGCACCACAAGCTCATGTGTCTCTATCCTGGACTGGAGCACCTCCCGTATGAAGACAGGCTGAGGAAGTTGGAGCTGTTCAGCCTGGAGAAGAGAAGGCTGTGTGGAGACCTCATAGCAGCCTTCCAGTACTGAAGGGGGCCTATAGGGATGCTGGAGAGGGACTCTTCATTAGAGACTGTAGTGACAGGACAAGGGGTAATGGGTTAAACAGGGGAAGTTTAGATTGGATATAAGGAGGAAATTCTTTCCTGTTAGGGTGGTGAGGCACTGGAATGGGTTTCCCAGGGAGGTTGTGAATGCTCCATCCCTGGCAGTGTTCAAGGCCAGGCTGGATGAGGCCTTGGGTGATAAGATTTAGTGTAAGGTGTCCCTGCCCACGGCAGGGGGTTGGAACTAGATGATCTTGAGGTCCTTTCCAACCCTAACGATTCTATGATTCTGTGATTCTATGATCCATATTGCTGACAGACACGAGGGAATAAAAGCAACACAGAAACAATGCACAGAGCTGCCTGAGCGACTGCACACTGCTCAGCAGAGACTTTCTGAGCCCCTCTCTGTGCTCACTGGCTGGGCAAACATCCATAAGGATCATGGTTAGCACTGCTTCAGAGAGCAGTTCGCAAGGCAGGGAGCAGGATCTGGCTGGTTCTGGGGGAACCTGCAAAGCATGGCACTCCCCAGTGCTTGGCTGTGGCCTGATAGCTGTGCTCAGGTGTATTACAAGATCACTGTATGCTATCAAAGCAACATTAAAATGGTAGTAATACTGAATTTATCCAGAAATATAACCCTAATCCTAATTTTCTCTTTGTCCTTCCTGCCCAGCGTACTCCAGCAAGACAATACCAAGTCTAATGCCTTAGTTTGGAGGAGCACTTTTGCTGTATCAGATAAAATTCAGCTACTGCTGGCATTAATTACATGAGCTATAAATATACAGGATGCCAGGGACAGCCTTTGCAGGGCCTGCACGTCCACTGCAGTGACAGAGGCCAGTGCTTGTTTATTCTGGAGATCAGGACAACTGAGTAAATGGCGACTTACTGCAGAGACTTCCCAGCTGCAGATGTCAGCCCCCAGCATCCTTCACCTGGCCCAGCTCACAGAGCTTCATCGGGGCATGGGGAGACTGAACAATGCACAAACTAGTAGGAGAAACTCACACCCCAATTCCTGGCTCCTTTCACCATACTTAAGGTTTAAAGTTTGATGTTAGCAAGTAAGTGAATTGTTTTAATCAGATTCACACAGAAGCTTGTCTTAAAGTTGAACACAACGTGAACATGGGCTCTCATCTGCTCAGACCCACCAAAATGTGAGATGCTGAACTCCCCCTTCCATTATTCCCTGATGAGGAATGGCATTGTACCAGGATGGCAGTGTTGGCTGCTGGTAGCTCAGCAGCCCACCTTGGCACTCTAATGGTCAGTGATCATCCTCAGTGGTGATGGTACCATTTCAGCCTATAAGGAATAAGGGGCAGGGTATTAGCTAGTTTTCTAAGCTCCTTATGGGAATTCAGAATCCCCTGTGGGAATGGAAAGACAATTTTAAAATGAATTGACCTGAATTGTCTCCCTCCTACCATTTGCCTTCTTCTAGGAGGAGGCAGGCAGGGATGAAGGAAGATCCTCACAGAGGAACTTTCTCTGCAAAAGGAAGATGTCCACACCATAGTTCACTGGCACTTGGAAAGGAACCTAATTTGGAAAGGAACACCTCTAGTATCACTTAGTTTGATCAACTCGTTTCAAAGCTACAGCTCTGATTACAGCTGATGAACCAAACCAGTAAGGTACCTCCCACCTCTCTCCTGCAGTAAAACTCATTACAAATTTGTAATGCTCCAATGCTGCCGAAAAGAAGCAAGTCTTGTTGCCTGCAGCTGCGTATGTTCCTTGATGTTACCAAATCCATAACCATCACCTATAATGAGTGGAAGAGTAATGTTATATTACCTCTATTACAACAGGGCGACAGAGCAGAACAGCCTCTGTCAATATACTGTGTTTTTGTGGGTCAGGGGAAGGTTTTATTTCTCTCTTAGAGCCTTGAATCCCTGTTTTAAAACAACCATTGGATACACAAGGCAGCTTTAGAGCCGGTCCTTTTACTTCTCCCTGACCTGTATTTTGAGATGGCTTCCTAGAAGAAGGGCTACCGTACCTTCTATAACTCTCTGTCAGGCCTTTGATTTGGGCCAGCAAAGAAACTTGTTAGATCTGATAAGGTAACTAAGCATCTCTGGAAAATGCTATTAAAAGAACATGAAACAAATGAAAAGCCAGGATACACTTAATGGTAAATACATGGCCTCGCAGGTCAGCAGAGCTACATCCTGTTTGCCATTGTTTTTATTTAATACTGGCATCGATTTGTTGAAGGATGAGACAGACCAGGCAACTCTCTGTAGGCTTTACTTGAATACCATTTCACTTTGAGATTAAACAAGCCCACAAGCTTGGATCACACCGTTTTGTTGGGAAATTTTAATGAATTGATTGAACGTTGGGCACTGCTGTGGTCAAGCAGTAAACACCACCTCTTTGATTATCTGTGTGGACAAACCCAGTCCCTGCTGACTAGAAAGCAGTGCCCAGCTCAAAGTTAGGACCAGCGCAGCATTAACCTGCTCCTCTGGAATAACAAGCTGTCCAGACACTATCCCACATGCTGGTAGCACAAGCCGTTCGTATGGAAACAGTTATTATCATGGCACAGGCTCTTTATATGCTTTATATTATTTTTCCTGAGAGCCCACAGAGGCGTGGAACGATTTACAGCTGCTCTCCATTCACAGCAGTGATACATGGCTATGAAGGGAAGTCTGAAGAGTAATTATTTCCACCATCATCATGTTAACTGCTCCCCTTTAATGGCAGAGCAAGGCTCATAACATGGGTAAGGAAGCTAAACTCAGCAACTACCTCCAGCAGGTAGGCTGCAACCAAGCCAACAAAACTTTATGCAAGACCACAGAGAAAGGGAAGGTGATGGTTTTTATAGCTGCCCCATCCCTGGAAGTGTTTAGAAACTACGTTTCTAAATTATACTCAGCTAAAATGATATATCAATCTAGTATTTTAAATACAATAAATATAGAATGAGCTGTGTGCAACTGCACTTGCAAGTTTTGTTCTTTTTTTAGTAGATGCACTAGATTTAGTAATCAAAACAGCCTCCAATACTGCTCCATGAAAAACTAGTAAGAAGTTATAACTGAAATCACATTCTTCAAAGATACCCCACACACTTCTCTCGTCCACACTGCATGGATAAGCACAGTGTTCCTGTGAGCATATGAAGAAAAGAAAAATAAGGACACTGAGAATTACCTAACAACAAAAAGCAAAACCATATGAGTTAATGCTACGTAACCTCCCATAAACAGTCTGTTTTCTACATTTAATCTTGGTGCATACAACCCAGTTCTATTTTTCTCCATATTAAAAAACTCTTCTAAGAGAACATCTTGCAAGCTATGGGTTCACTCATCTTCATCTTGCTCTGTTTCACTGCAAAGTGGAAAAGATTCTTGAACAAACTGCCTACACATTGGACACTGCTGAAAATACTTGATGCAGCCATCACATAAGCACGTGTGCCGGCAGGGTAGGAGTACCCAGTTCACTGTGCCATTCTGGCAAACAACACAGTCTTTACTGTTTTCTTCATGCAATTCTGGTTCATCTTCAGCCAGTCCAGCCCTTTCTAGTAAGCTTCTGTCAGTGCTTCTCTCACCGGGAGATGTGTCACTTGAAGATGCTGCAGTACTATTTGCAGACATGAAGAGTTGCTAAAATACACATATACACAAACATTTAGAAGGGTAATTATAATAATAAACTTTCCCCTGATAGCTGAAAATACACATACACATGATGCAAGCTCCACTGGGTCAGACTGACTGGTTTCCACTGGGTCAAGTAGTGCCAGACACTCTTCCCCCATGTCCTGACAGTTAAAGATAGTTCAGAAGCATAAGATTACATAAAACACTGGGAAAATATTAAGGATAAGTCATCAAATCTCAGCTAAACAAAATCAATGTACATGCATGAACTTTAACAGGACTGTCCAGGTTTTGAACCCCAGCTTGGGTTTCTGTTTCTGGTATACTGTTCTCTGTGCCTAGAGCAAGGCTTCTATCCATTCCTACCCAAAATATATCCACCTAGCTGTTAAACCTACTTCACTCAACCCATCCCACTCTTGCTCACATTACAATCCCCTACTCCTTTTTGTTGTATTTTACATGATGTGCAAATTCTTCTGGGTGTGATAACTTAATAAAGCCAGTAAATTACCATGCAGCCAAAGGTGCCTGTGGAGAACACACTACACAACTGCACAGTGTGCAGCTGCACAGTTATTTCCGTTCAGCTGAAGTGTGTTTTTACAATGGAAACCATACACTTTGGATATGTTTTATATGTACATATAAATATATTTATATAAATGAGTATATATAACTTTTATTTATAAATAAATGAGAAGGTTTAAGGGGATCAACAGGGAATTTTACCTGGATAATATGTCTGCAAAAAATGGCCAGGACAAACATGTCTTTGGACAAATCTATTTCTGAATGAATGCTAATCAACTCAATTGAATTAAGTTGGCCTAATTACTAGCTTATCAATACCATATATTATTTTTATTATGAGTGATAAAGTGGATTGCATAGAATCATATCATCAACTGCCTGACAGACACAGGAGAAAGATGATCCCACAGGAAGCATAGATAAGGGAAACTGGACTGGAATAACAAGACCATTGGTTTAATTTTTACCGATTTGTGCTAGGTCTAAGTTTTATTTGTGTTTTTTTGTGTTTGTCCTAAGTTTTGTGCATGTGTTGCAGTAAAAATACATTAAAAAAAACACCAAACAACAAAACAATCCAAAAAGAATTTCTTCTTCACCTTTCCCAACTGAAGGGCAGTACAGAAGAAATTCTGAGAGACAGAATGCATTCAACAGCTAGTTAATTTCTTCCTACTGTTTTAATAAGCAGACATGACCTAGGTTGCCTAGATTAGAATCAAGTAATTTCTCCAGGAAATCTTTAATATTGTCACATAAAATATTTCTGTTCAATAACTTTTGCTGAAATCACTTAACTGATCATTTTAGCTATTATCCAGTTCTTTGTTTGCCAATAAAACTCTTACACTAATTTAGACTTCTGAAAGCCTACATAAGCTAAACTTAACACTGCCACCCAAATGAAACAACACACAGCATGGGGCTTACCTTCAGCTCATGGTATTGACCTTGAGCTAGAAGCAGATACTGATACAGTATTCTGCAGGGAAGTCTGTAGCTCTCATCAGGAATGTGAATTACAGCTACCATTGAGATCTACAAAAAAAAAAAAAAAAAAGAAAAAGGTATGTTTAATAACTTTCCTTTTCCTTATAGGATTCACATAAAACAGTTGGTCTGAAGGACTGCATACTTTGTTACAACCCCTTGACCTGCTTATTTCCTTAGACAATGGGGACTTCAACAATGTTGACTTCAAACACAGCTTAAAAAAAAAAAATAAAAAACATACAGGACATGGCACAAGACAGCACTTTGTGGCACTTCAGTTTTCTGCCCTTGCTCTCCATGGAGCCTTATTATGGCCAGTTTACAGCAGAGACCACCTCTGACTGCTCTCACTTAACGCAATCACACCCCACACTGAAAATGCATCTAAGCACATGCACTCCTGAAGGTAAGTGCTCAGTCAGCTGAGGTAGGGCTGCTTACACCATCACAGATGTGCCGTGGAAGAAAAAATTATTTCAATCACAAGAAGCAGCTCCTACACTCCTCTTTCCACTCCACTAACTCATGATGAGCTCCTTCTACATGGGAGAGAAGTCGACAAACTGCAAGGAGTTTCCTACAGCAACAGAGCCCCAGGTGAGTGCAGGCATTTAGGTTCCGTACAACTTCTGCAGCCACATCCTGGGCTGTCTTCAAGACAAGAAATTACCCTGTCCACTGAGCTCCAAGTGCGTAATTAGAGGGGAACATGTAAAAGACAAAGTTTTCTCTACTCTCTCTCACTTTCCTCACAAACACAGACCAGGTTTTTTTACTCTATAAAAAGTGTTAAGAAGGGTCCCTGATCGGCTTCTAAACTGAGTAGGCAAAAAAAAAAAATTCACTGGAAAAGATTATGAAAGGATCCTGTGGACTGACTTTAGAGTCATTTTTCTGAAAGTAAAAGCACTCCAAGCTTGCATGCTGCGCCTAATACCCCTCACCCTGCCTAAATTACATAACAGCCTCTAAAAATAAGAGAAAAAGAAAGTGAAATTCAATATTATTGTAGTTCCCAGAAGCTGTCAAAAAAGAAATCAAATACAGAAAAAAGCTGTTTTGTTAAAAAAAAAAGAAAAAACAAGAAAATTAAAGGCAAATCAGACTTGCACTTCAAAATCCACATATGCCCAATTACATGCAGTTTCAATATATGTACCTACACATATGTATTTATACTAACTGAATTTACTATTCTTTGGCAATAAGGTCTTTTTTTCTAAATCACAATGTGTCAAAACCATTGCAAAACAAACAACCCCACACCACTACTAGCTTTGTTTTCAAACCTGAAAGCCATTAAATCTGCATTAAAACGACAGCTTTTGTCTTTTGATAGTAAGATCTCAAAAGTTAACAGTTTGCAGCGTATTTGTATTATGTCATTCCACCACAAATGCTTTCTCAATGACAACACGTGCTCAATTCTTAGTTTGTTCAGACACCTAGGAAACTGTTTAACTCTGAATGGGATCACTTCTGAATACAAGCATCTGAATCTTCACGTTATTGATTCCTCTGTTACCCTGTAGTACAGAAACATATACAGTGATACCATGATCTAGTAGAAATGCTATGCTGTTTGATTATAGAGCCCCTTCCTCTTACAGAGAGAGAAAATACCTGGTACTGAAGTATTTGTACACCATAATCAAGTTACTTCTCCATCTTCTGTTTTCTACCCAGGCCTGAGATCTAAGCTTTCCTCCACTTCACCCCTGCCAGCCTTCAGATAATTTCTGTAATTCTTACATATAGTCATGCTAATTTCTAGAGCTAGAGGAAAATTAAGGCACAAAATCAAATAGGTATGATCTAGCCACAAATATGGTTTGGATGAAAATCAGTCTCTCCAGAAAAGAGATACTGGAACACCATCCATAGTGATGGACACAGACGCACAAAATAAAGATGGTACTTGATGCACTGATGTGAGAATAATGCAGTAATACCATACTGGTCACAGCGGCAAAGATCCCTTTCCACACTGTATTTATATTTTAAAAGTTTGCTTTTACAACAAGAGATGCAATTCTGACATTTGTCTGGCACGGAATTCAGGCAGAGTTACTTCTTTGACCATATTAACAGATTCTAGTCATGTTCCTTTTCCCCAAAACCAGAGGAAAAATACCTTCCCCACTCTCATTTCATCCCTTTCTTCTATGTTAACAAACAAAAGAGGTGTTACAGATTCATGTCCATACTGATGTCAAACACATGGAAAATAGCTGGGGCATGTGGGAGTGCCTCAAGTGGGGACAGGAGGGAGGGAGGCAGTCCTAAGGTTAAGTGACAAGGAGCCAAGGACAGGCACCACTTGGAAAAGAACCAGATTTCTTAGGCACTGGTGTGATCACAATCAATTTCCAAATGAATGTATGCAAAAGTGTTTAGTGGATTTAGGCAAATTGCTTCCTAGTTCATTTGTATTATTGTTCAAGCACTTAGTGCTATTAGATTATCAAGCAAATGAAAAGATGGGAGAGAAAAGTGTGTCTCAAATCATTCTAAAAAGAATCAATTTAGTGTTTAGAAGGGATATTGAACTGCATGTGACAAAGCTGAAGCTGCTTTAACTAAGAGATTAGGAGACCTTTCCGGGGAGCAGAGTATCCCATATCAGTCCACTGCAAGACCTTCACACCTTCCTGTAAACACCCTGGAGCTGGCTACTGTGAAACACAATGTACTGTATTACAGAATTGGGCTGTGGCAGAAAGGTAACTTCTATGCTCCTAACAGCCAAGCCAGCAGTCAGCTCACATATCTGTGCCAGACACACACACAAAAAAATCCTCTCACTTTGCCAACAGCAATCCAAAAGACTCTATCAGTGCAAGAACTCCACCACAGGTTTATGCGATCAGAAAAATGGGAGTAATAGCTTACTAACCTACAACAACCCCAGTTCCTCTCACTACAGGGTTTACCACAGAGAATTTTGCTGAGATAAACTTTGTGAAAATCATAAGCATCTTTTGAATGGCACACACATTTTATATACAGCAATTATCTTTGCACTTCTGCCATGCTCCCATGGAGTCACGGGTGACAAGGCTAGGGACCAAATTCTAGGGGACAGAGAAAGGACATCGTTTTATTCAAGCCTATCTCCTGAAACATTCAGAACTTAAACACACTGACCCTAAAATATATTCTTATATTACTTACAATATCATATATTTCTCTGTCTTCTTCATCTGCTAACGTCAGCAATGCTACCAAGGGATAGCGAGATCTGGGCACTGGGCCAAAATCAACAACTTGAGCATCTTCTGGTAACTGACAATGTTTTTCTTCCTTGTCATTTTTTTTAATGCTTAGTAGGTGTCAAGGAAAACAATCAGTGTTATTGCAATTGTAGACAAATGTGACGTTTGCATAAAGAATATTTGTCATCATATTTGTTCATAAATATGTTGTGCCAAGAACTGCTGAATGTTCACGAGTCTTAACACTCCCTGTGCCAATGAAACAGCATTTTGTCAAAACAATTGCAAAAAAGGATACAAGTACTGTTGTCGATAGAGGTATTCGCTGTACAGAGCATCCTCTAATGCCTGAGGAGTCTTTATTCTGAAGCAGTAGACATGTTTCTGCAATGCTTTGTGGAGTTTTTGAACACTGCAGCCCCAGTAGCATGTAAGAATACAGTCTTCCAGACAGTCTGGTGTCAGTATTATACCCTCTTGTAGAAAGAAGATAAGGATTTCATTAACCCACCTATGTGCAGGAATTCTGGAATTGCTAAGTGTAGGTTCTTACAGGGCAGCAAGCAGAAAACAACTTCAGTGTCCCAGACTTTTATCATTATAATCTAATCTTCTCAGAATTCAGACCAGGTTTAGTGCTATGAAAGTCAATGGAGATGTGGAAGTGGGTGCAAGGAAATAAAATGGTTGATTAAGCTAACAAAAGTAGCACATGCATTTTGTGAAGGATAAATGTTAACTTCTGGTAACATTATACACACTCACTGGCAGACTCACAAGTACAACCCCTAGTCCAAAGTCCATTCCCTCCTTAGATAATGGTATTAATTGGATCACCAGCCTACAACACTCTGTGGTCTCAAATAATAAGGCCCTTTTGATCGTACAGAGGGAGGATAAACAGAGGATCTGTGTGCTTCATTTCTTTTATAAAAATCAAACACCCAACCCATTAACTTCTAATCACTTACTGCACAAACAGCAGCAGAGCTCTTGAAAAGTCCCACAAAATTCAAATGTCCAAACCTCTTGAAAAACCCAAGTTACCTGAAGACTACATTGCTGGATTTCTTGTTTGGGGTTTGTTGGGCTTTTTTAATGTAGACAGAGGGGTGAAACTGCTGCAGCCCTTTTCTCATTCATAGGAAGGCTCCACATCTGTGATGGCAGAAGATGCCAATGCAAGTCAGCCTTGTTTACTACTCCCCAGTGAGATGCAGAAGGGCATGAATTTCACTTCCTATGTGAGCCATTTCATGGATGTTAGGAACTATCTTGAACTGTGATCCAAACAGATATTTAAATTCAGTTTCCACTGAGACACAGATAGAAAGAGGAGATCTATTTTTAAAGTAAAGTAGTGCACTTCCACTGGAGACTGGGACTTAAACTTCAGTGGTTGGCATATATTCTGTAATAAAATCTATACAGTTCTTCACTTCTGTAAGGTTTACCAGTTACTGCAGGCGTTTTTGTAATCTACAAATGTTTTTGCTACTTAGAAATCTGTTACAGCAGGAAGTGTTTCATTAATAAGAATTAAACTCTGTTTAAATAGCCCAAAATTTTACTTTTAAAACCACCACATTTATAAATGGTGTAAAAATTATTTCTGTTGTAATGATGAACAGAAGCATGTTTCTGAGGAATTTTGATAAAGAAAAAGGCAGAGAGCAAAAAAACAGAAAGCACTAAGTTCAGGAACCCAAACTGACAAAAATCAAGCACATCAGAAATCCACTGACTTGTTACAGAAGCTGTAGCAGGATGAAGGATTTCTAACCCAAAAGGATTCTTCACTTGTCTCATCTGCTTTTTCAACATTCTTGCACTGGATTCTGTTTCTTCTGAGTTTCTCAGAATAACAGGAACACCCAAACCAGACCTATGAGACACAAAACAAGAACAAGTGGGTTAAGTATTAGGGTTGACACACTTGAATTTTTCTTCACTCTAAATAGCAAGCAGCACAACATCTGCCAGGATACAAACGTAACACAGGCTGCCAATCTGACTTCAGTTTTCCGTGGCAGAAGGTAGGAGTCTTCACAGTGATACAAAAGATCTCTAAAAGGGGAATACTTTACTCTTGCCTCTCCACAAAGGGAGTAAAATAAATGAGAATGGTCAATGCCCTCTAGTGGTAAACGGTTAGCCAGTACTTTCTCGCAGTTGACATTCTTGCACATCCTTTTACAGGATCCCCGCCAAAAAAAACACTGCTTGCAAAGATGGAACAACCTTAATCGATTGGGTGCTCAAACGGAAGAGTAAATCATTCAGCTCTAAGATATTTCTCTAGCTGTAGCTACAGCCAACAAGACGGAGATCCTGATTTCCCATGTAAACCTCAATTACAATATGCTGATACTGAATCAAAGGCCATAAAGCCTCTACTTTGAGCAAGAAACCAAGTGCAAAATAGCTAAATCAAAGCTGAGAATCTACAACCCCTTCAAAGCCAAACCTAGCACACTATCCCAAGTGGTATTCTTACCCTAAAAGGATAATGAAGAAAAGGTTTCAAAGTTTAAACACCCTTAGAATAAAAATAAATTAAAAAAAAAAAAAAAAATAAAAATCAAAGAAAGTGAGGAAGAATATTTTGGGACGATGATTTTTGACACAAATTAAAACCCCCAAGATTTTTGTATTACCTGGGGCTTCTAAAAGAACCATTATATAAGGTCAGGATCTAGAAAACAAGCTCTACAACAGACTTCTTTTTACATGTGACTAAATATAATTCTTAGAAATAACTTTCAATAACCAAAAGTTGATTAGAGAAACTGTCCCAGATATGCTATAAAAAGATTACTAAAGAGATTCCTTAATTGCATTAATCCAGTCCTGTCTCATTAGTAAGGTAACAGGGAGAGGCTGTGGGAGGCTTTTGTCAATGCATTTCAGAAAAGTTATTAATTAGCTCAGGCTGTACTTCCCTGAATTTGTGCTTTTTTTGCTGCCACATGTACTATTCACATGACAGCCTGTTGAATGGCTCTGAATTTTGGTTTAGGCAGCCATCAGAATATTGGGTGCTGGAAAACACCAAATGGCACAAAGCACCAGTTCTTCTCCGCATCAACTGTTGCCATTCAGTATACTGAAATAGCAGCTATTACAGTAAGATGGGTCTTATATCAATAACTCAAGCTGAAAAGGGCACTACCAACTTGAATTTAATCAGTTTGAAACTGCTAAAGTAATTTTGTGTACAATACAGCTCTGAGCCAAACAGACAATTCTGTGCTTAACTACTACTTTTCCCTGGTTTTAAAATCTTTTCCAACTCCTGTGCATCAAAAGCAGACGAAAAGCAGAGCTTTTACTGACACTGGGCTCTTTTCTATTGATTCATGTCAGAGAGGTGCCTTTGTAAGACTAACTGGGAAAAACATCAGTCAAAAGTGATTTTCAAGTTGAGGAAAATACTTCAGGGAAAAAAATTTTCAAATCCATTCTCAATAGCAAGAACCTGGTCCTGGCAGTCTAACAAATATTTGCCTTTACCATTTAACATCTTGTGTGCCAGAGTGTCACAGATACAACACAGAGAAAAGAGACTGGGCTGGCAGAAAATGCTCTATACTGATTACTCCATCTTTGAGAAATGCCTTTGTTTTGCTAGACTATGATAGCAACATTTGCATTTCTCCAATGATATAATATGGGGCACTCAGCCATACTCGGTTTGGGCACACGGAGGGTCAAATCTCTCTGATGCAAGTAAAACCAGCCACGCTGACTTCCCTGGGGCTGTAATGAAAAACACCAGTTAAACATCTTACAAAGAAACCAGGTGCAGCAGCTGTTTCACTTATTCAATATCCAAAACTCAGTGGAGCTAATCTCTCCTACTGCACATAAAGATGCCTCCTGTTTTATACCATCTGGCTGATTCTGAAGTAAAACCCCTGTTCTTTGGAAACTTTCTTCGCTGGTCAAAAGCAACAGGATAATCACCATGAAAAGCAGCCATAGAAAAGAGCCTCTAGTACAGTTTTAGCAGCAGCTGAAGGCAGAAAGGCCTCTCTGTTCAACAATAAGGTACAGTGTTGCTGTAAAATTTTTAAGGTAGTATTCAGCATATGAAGGATGAATATAGTTTTCATTTTATGATCCTGGTCTCTCAGCCAGGATCGTTAGCTGGTATAGAGGAAAATTCATTTCTTCAGAACAATGTTAGTTTATAAAAGGCAGGAGCCTCCAACAGTTTTGTTCATGGGTTAATTTCCCCAAAGACCAGTCTGGACTTCAAACAAGTGCTGAGCCTCCAGTTCCTCCTTATAATTCATCTACAGCTAAAAGATGACGCACAGGACTGTACTCAGCTAATTTAAATTCCGTATCATTCCTATATACCCAGAGGATCTATTGGACTGGTTCTAGGTTACTGCTGTAGGTAGGTTACCTGTGCAGTAACCTACTCAGACTCTGAGCAAAGCCACAGGTATCCAGACCTGGCCATAAAAACAGCCGCTCATCAAATCAGTGCAGAATTTTGCAAACAAAACCATCAACATTCCTAAGCAGCTGGTGGTTTTCAGGCTGACTGACACCACCACAAACGTATCTGTAAAACAAACTGACAATTGATGCTGAAATGATGGGGGAAAAAATGTCATTGCAACAATATACTATGTATTATATCACACCATATGCATTTATAGTACTCTCTGTAGCAAATAAAGAATCAAGTTGTTTTCACAAGTAAGTTCCAGAGCACTTAAAAAATGACTGCAACTACACACACACTGAAGTTGCTTCGAGGCTATTGGTCATATGGCTGTGGTAAGGTAGAGTTCAAAGGCAGCAGCAATCACCTCTGAGCAACTGGCTACATATTCACAGGTAAGTATGTGCTGAGCTCCTGACTGCTAGTTCTATTCGACTAACAGTTCCTTAACAAACTAGTTTGTAGACAGTTTGTATATATTTACATAAATTGCAGTAATACCTAGTGTAGATACACCTAGAATCTCTGATCTGGAAATAAAAATGCCTCTGGACAGTCCTCTGCACACCCTCTGGCCCAAAATGCATCAATGGACACATGTAAGGATCAGATGTAAGGACCTTCCAACATTTTACAGTAGAGAATTGCAAAGCAGGCCTGCAGTGATAAGGTTTAGTGGTGGTCGTGGCAGTCCTAGGGTAATAGTTGGACTTAATGATCTTAAAGGTCTTTTCCAACTTAGTTGATTCTGTGTTTGAAGCAGGTTCTCAGCCATCACATTTAATTCCACACACTGTTTTCCTTCATATAGAGAAATAGAGTGCTGGCAGCTTCTTTCTTAAACAGGGGTAGGAATATTCCCAACAGCCTCATCTGCACCAGAAAACAGAGGAGACCAGATACAGCTTATCATGAATGGCACTGTCCACTCAAAGTCCACTGCAATGGATTTGGCAGTGCTGGGTTAATGGCTGGACTCAACGATCTTAAAGGTCTTTTCCAACCAAAATGATTCTGTGTTTCTATTAAAAAAATATTAAATTGATAAACGGATCATTGGTTTGGGGTATATATGCAGGAGGCTTATTTAAATCATGATTCAGTATGATTTTTTGGTAAAGATAATATTTTTGAAGAACTGATGAAGCAAAAAAGTGAAGTAAATTGCAATGTAATACCATGAGTGTGCAGTAGGACACAGAGAGAGCATTATGAAATGCTTTAACTTTTTCTCCAAATAAATAATGGGGTGGAATTTCGTCCAGCAAAAAAAATAACAAAAGACCAGTTGCCTTCACTACCACCTGCTGACCACTAGGGGAGGCAATGCAAAAGAGGAACAAAAACTTCCCACCAAACGTATCTGAAAGATCAAAAGATACACTTTATTCCCACTGAAAGCAATGTTTGAGCCAATGGCAGCTAAAAAAGTGATGTAAAAAAGGGAAAGGCTTTACACTGAAGGAAAAGTCAAGCAGAGTATTTGTAAGCTGCCAAAAGAACAAATAGCTACAGCTAAAACATCTGTAATTCAAAGAGAGACAATGGATGGAAAACACTGAAACACAGCACTACAAATATTAATGTTGAGCTAATGGGAGGAAATGAAATAACTCAATTTTATTCTCTCCAGAAGCCCCACAAGTGTAGCATATCCACAGTTCCTACACAAAATATTTTGATTGCTAATCAATGCCCTGCACTGGCAAGTATCAGTATTTACATCCACAGATGCTCCCGAGTTGGCAGGAAAACAGACAGAACAGTGCTATCTATGACAGACATGCAGGGACCTGCTTCTGAAAAAGGCAGCAGTGACATCTTTGCTGAATCCTCGCAAACACAAGTAGAAGGTCTTCCACTCCTGTCCCCTTTATATACTTTAGCAGATCAGTTATTTAAGGCTCCTCCTCATCTCAATCCCAGCACCCTGTTACGTTCACCTTAAACACCCCCTTCTCCAAGTTCCAGCAGCAGAACAGGCTGGTGCCCCATCAGCAGTCCTGGGTACTCTCATACCTCAGTACCAACCCTGCCTTAAAGCCTGTCAGATTTAGCTGCTACTCGGCCTGACACTAGTCATCTTACTCAATATCAAAATTTTATTTACCATCAAGATTTGATATGGTTATCTCCAACACTGCCAAACTTTTCCCCTGAAGGAACTCTCCCTGACCCCACCCCCACGCTCAGGGTCAGGCCCTCTCCTGGCCACCGTGTTTCCTGACAGCTCTCATTCTCTTCTTCTGCCCGAGCAGCCCCTCTTCTTCCCCTATGGTCAGTACTAGCCCTCCTTATCATCCCTCCTTCAACACAGCCCCACTCCCCGACCTCTGCTAAGCCCCACACACCCAACCCCACTGCTAGACCCGACGCTGTGGCACCCCACAGACACCCCACATCCTGGAGCTCATTCCCCAAGGGGTACCAGCTCCTATTACCCGCCTCCTACGCCTTGCCACCTCAATACGCGGACAGACCTCCGCAGCCAAAGCCCATCGCCCCAGACCGGTATCCACAGGCAGGACCGGCCCCATAGGGACCGCCACTGCCGGCCGCCCCGCCGACTCACCATGCCAGCACCAGGCCGCTGGTGACCAGGAAGCAGACGAACACCACGGTGATGTAAAAGAGCGGCGAGTACTCGTAGAGGGTGACAAGAAACACAGCGGCCATGGGGACAGACCGGGCCGACGCGCCCACCTCACAACAGCCCTCTCCGTCTCGGGAGTCAGGCGCATGCGCAGCGGCGGAGGGAAGCCGTTGCTCTCATCTTGCCCGGAGATGGGCGGTGCTGCAGGCCCCTGCCGGCGTTCCCTGCCTGCGGTGGCGCAAAGCGCTAAAAGAGCAAGAAAACGCCTATGCGCCGTCCGGTACCACCACCTTAATCGCCTCAGGCCTTAACGCGGCAAGCCCGGGCTTGCAAACTGATCTGCGTGAGGATGGGGTAGTGCTAAATGCTGAAACACTCGCTGAAAATGTGCAATTGTATCTTGTAGAGCTAGCGTTTAAGTCGTTAATTATCAAGAGGTTGTGTTGGACATGTGAAGTATTGAATACATTTTCATTCTCTTTGAATGAGCCAAGCAACCATACTCTCAATTCTCACTGATACAGGATTGCCACTAATACAGAATGGTTTGGTTTAGAGGGACCTTAAAGCTCATACAGTTTCAAGTGCTGCCATGGGCAGGGACACCTTCCACTAGACCAGGTTGTTCCAAGCCTGGTCCAACCTGGCCTTGAATGTTGACAGGGACGGGGCAGCCACAGCTTCTCTGGGCAACCTGTGCCAGGGCCTCACCACCCTCAGGTGGAAGAACTACTTTAATCTAAATCTTGCCTCTGTCAGTTTAAAGCCATTCTCCCTTGTCCTATCCCTACATGCCCTAGTCAAAAGTCCCTCTTCAGATTTCTGTTACAGTAGCTGAAATTCCCAGCAGCACGAAAAAGGCCAGACATTTACCCCAGCACCACAACAGCCCTCCACCAACAGCCTATTAGGGAAGTGTCTGCCTCGTGCTCAACTCTCGTATTTGTGATTCATGAGCTCCAAACCCTGGTTTACTACACTCCACTTGTACAAACAAGAAGCACCACAAGCAGCAGAACTTACTGATTTCTGCCTTGTGCTTGAATTTTCTGGTATTTAATGAGACAGACATTCTAGCTGAGGCTTTTTAGTAGGCGTTTTTGTGTGTGCGTTCTCTGGTGTTTTAGTAAAGTATGCAAAGTTACTGTTACTTAACAGCCTAGTTGAAGTGTGGTCATCCTCCCCGGGCCTGGTGCTGACCCTGCCGGCAGGCTGATACCCCAGCCCGGCCTCAGCACAAGGGGGATCCTCAGCGGATCAGGACTTAAACAGCCACCCCTTGTCCCCCTTAAGGGCCGTCAACCGCTGACAAACAACCGTCCCCACCCCAACCCCGCTCCCCCTGAGCTCAGACCGGACCGTACCACCCCAGAAGAAACGGCCGCGCACCGCCCCGCCCCACTGCCATGACTCCTCGGAGGGCAGAGCCTAGCCGTCACGGGCAGCAGGGTGCGAGGCCGAGGGCGTCACGTGGCGCCGCGGCACGTGAGCCTTCCCGCTACCCGTAGGCGGGTGACCCCGCCCGCCCAGCCGGGATAGCGATGCTGATTGGCTAGCTGTGGAGAAGGGGTGGGGGAGAGACGGGGTCTGCGCCGCGCAGGCTCAGTGGGGGTGCGCAGCCTCAGCGAGGGGGCGGCGGGCGGCGGCTTCCGTTGTTGGCGCGCGAGCGGCGGCGGTTGGGCGCGTGCAAGATGGTGAGAGGACCCCGCGGCGCCTGAGGGGGGACCCGGCGCGGGCTGGGGCTGGGTAGGGTAGGGCAGGGCGAGCCCAGCCCAGCCCAGCCCAGCCGATCCCGGCCGCCTCTGCGGGCTTGGGGGTGCTCCGCTGAGGCGGGAGGGGCAGCGTGCAGCCGGGGTTCCCGCGCGGTGGGCTGGGGTGGAAGCGCTGAGGGGGAACAGGTGCCTGTGGAGTAACGGGGACCGGGGTTTCCTTAGGGCGAGCCCTTCGATCTTGGGGTGCTGCCAGGGAAGGTGCTGCCGTGAGAAGCTTCCCCGGCCCTGGCCAAGCCCCGGATCGTGCCGTGTTCACCTGCTGCGGACCTCCCCAGTTGTTTTTCTGCGGACGTTGCCAGCCTGCAGGGGGAGAGTGAAGAAACAGCTGTTTAAAAAGGAAGTTGTGATCTGCCTTGCCGGCAGCCAGCTAAATCGGTTTCTGATAGTCTCGTAGTATGGTGGCTGAGGTTAACCAACAGCAAGACGCCCCCTCCCCTGCGCTGGGTGGCACGTTTGCCTGCTGTCTGCAGCCCTTCTGTCTCTTGAGTTTCTTCAGGTTTTACTAAAGCAAGCACCGATGAGCCAGCTTAGCCCCAACAGATGATCCAAATCAGATGTCACCATGTGTCTTGCAGGCACAAACTTCATCTTCTATTAGGGATTTATGTTTGTGTGGCTGCACAGGTATGAACAAGGGTGTGTAGTGATAGGACAAGGGGGAATGGCTTTAAACTGTCAGAGGGTAGATTTAGATTAGGTATTAGGAAGAAGCTCTTCCCTATGAGCATGGTGAGGCCCTGGCCCAGAGAAGCTGTGGCTGCCCCATCCCTGGCCCCATCAAGGCCAGGTTGGATGGGGCTTGGAGCAACCTGGTCTAGTGGAAGGTGTCTCTGCCCATGGCAGGGGAGTTGGAACTGGATGAGCTTTAAGGTGCCTTCCAAACCATTCTGTGATTCCGTAACAGCACTGCTTACCCTGCAGTGTCTGCTGGAATTCATTAGGAAACTGCTGGCTTGGAGAACTGGGAGAAATGCCTCCTTCAGGAAAGAGCATTTGCCTTACTTGTTGTTCCAGCTCCAGCCGGTAAAACGAAGCAGAGGCACAAGACTTTGTGCCACAATTTGGTCAAGGTGGATTTTTTTTCTAGGAGTAACAAAAAATATAGGATATTTACAAGGTGGTTTTGGAAGTGGGGAATGGGAGATGCTTCTCTGCTTCTTGAGGAAAATCTCACAAACAAGCCTGTGTTGAGTACGAGGAGACAGAGCTCAGAGTTTAAATAGTAACTTCTGATTTATAAGCAGTGATTTGTCTCAATGAAACAGCTCTTTAGAGTGTTAGGCAGAGCTTGTGATAGGTAATTTTGCAACTATTTATTATTTGAACAATTTTTTTAAAAGAAGTCCTGAAATACTGTTGGTTTTGGCACAAAAGCTTTGATGCCTTAGGACTTTATGAATACAGTAGTTTGAATAAGCTGGATATGTTAACTTTTCTTTGTCTAGCTGGCATGCCTGCCATAACTGGCAATAGAGGTTGTGTGTATAAAATGTTATTCAGGAAATGGCAGTGGTTGGCTTGGTACATTTTGAAAATTGCATGTGTAATGGAAGATAACCTGCATAGTTGCTTGTGAAATAATAATTTCCTTCCCCATCTGCAGTGTGATGACTAATATGTTATCTGGACCTCTTCTGAAAATTTGGAGTTAATCAAAAAGCATGTGTACTTTTACTAAAATGTCTAAAATGTTTTCTGCGTGCATAAATCTTAAAAGTTCAGTTAATATTTTTGTAGGTAAAAATAAGCCTTCACCCTTAACTACTGTCTGTGTTCTTCTGAAATACTAACAGTAGCTTCTGCTCTTTGTTGAAATTAATTTAGTGCCACTCTGAGGGGCTTCCTTATTTCAGGGCTTATTTTAGCAAATGAACTGCAAAATTTGTTTACCTCTAAGAGCTCTGAGGATAATCCCACTCTGGGAATAGCTAATAAACTATTTCTAGTTAACTGTGTGGCTTTGAGGAGGGATAGTAAAACAGATAGGTTTTACTACCAGGTTCTGTTACTGTGTTTTTTAAACTGCATTCATCTGTGGTTTTTCTGGTTTATGTGTATGTTTTCAAACTTTGGACAGGGTGCATGCAATTCCACTTCAGTAGAGTTTATGTGCACCTATACGTGACATGGGGATTTTTTTCTGCTTTTCTAGAAAGATTTATCTTGCCCCCCCCCCCCCCCCCCCCCCCCCCTTTCTGTTTTATAGAGTGAATCTCTGGTGGTTTGTGATGTTGATGAAGACCTGGTAGAGAAACTGAGAAAATTCCGGTTTCGTAAAGAAACTAACAATGCTGCCATTATAAGTAAGTTAAAAACATGTCTGACAAAAATTGCAAGGTCTTGCAGAAAATTCTGTCTCTTCCTTCCCATGTAATGTCACTGCTGTAACAGGTAGAGGTGAGCCAAAAGGCTGTTTTTTGTATGAACTTAAGTTCTTCCAAGTCTGCCTGTAGTTTTGACAGTAAAGCAATGCTTTTTATGACACAAGACTGCATTTGCTCATAGTATTTTTACTTAATTCTGGCTCAGAGTCTACCACTCTTTGTAAAATGATAATAAAAAAATATCTAGGTACAGTCATTTTGAGTTTGTAAGTTTTGTAGCTTTTAAGTAGGGGGGGGTTGATGTTTCTGTCTTTGCAATTTGAGGATAGCATATTGCAGTGAACCCCACTCAGACTGGGCACTTCTGACCTCAGTGATTTTGTGAAGTCATGGGATGAAGCAGCACAACGGAAGCACAAGGAATATACTTGTGGAGGAATGTTAAAATGCATCATGTATATGTTGTATAAATTGATTGAAAGAACGATCTCTTTTATTTTGATTTATAGTGAAAATCGACAAGGATAAGCAGTTGGTGGTACTGGATGAGGAGCATGAGGTTTGTTAAATGAATTGTAAATAAGAGTATCTTCAGCCTGCAATGTATTGTTGTCTCTAAGGTACTGCCTTAGTTTCAAATTGTTATCAAACTCTTAATCTAATTTGGGTCATGAGCTTATTTAAATGCATGGTCACTCTGCATGTAAAGCACAGCACTATTTATAGTGGAACTATGCAGAAGCAATTTAATTGATTAATTAATTGCAAAAAAGAAAAAGTTGTTTTAAAGTTGTTAGGACACAGCTATGTAAAAGGTATCTTTTACACCTGCTGGCTGGCTGAAGAGGTTTCTGCTGTTTCCACGTAAAGCTGCATATTTGCCTCTGAGCTGGTCTGCCATCAATTAGAAGCTAGGATTGCTAATCCTCTGCAGGCTCTAAATTTGTGGGGTGGCATAATAAGGTCAGCCCAGCATGCAGCGTTTCTTAATGGTACATAGGGAAAAATTAAATCTTTTCCAGGGATTTGAGCATTAACCATA